TTTCTCCGTTATAAAATTAATTTAATGTACAAAGCAGTTGTAGGAATTGAATAATTGCGAAAAAATGAAAGAAAAGAAACTCAAAAATATTAATCGAGTGAAAAATTGAGAAATATTAAAAATATTTCAAATAAAAAGAGCCTTTGCATATAAAATCATTATCTTAGATCTATTTTCATCATAAAACATGAATACATATTATATTATATTACATTATTATTATATGACTGTTCACATTGAACCTTTTTTACACGCAAAAACAACAAAGGAAAAGAAGAGAGAACAAAAAATCTATATAAAACAAATAGAAATCTTGAAAAAATTTATTTAAAAAAATCGATAAAAATATGTGCAATTAAAACAAGTTATTATTAAAAGCCGCAAAAACAGCCTACCAAAGAATTTAGGAATTGTTAACAGAAAAAAACAACAAAAATGTAATTTCCTTGGAAAAACACAACAATCGGATATATAAATATATATATATATAAAAATACATATACAAGTGCATGTATGTAAATATATATAAATGTATATATATATATACATAATAAAGCAACAATTTATGTCTAAAAATTTGCTTGAAAAGCTAAAGCAAAATTTAAAAAAAATATATATATTGACCAGCTTTTATACGCTATTTTAACTTTTAAACTAAAAAAAAAAAAAAACAAGGATAAACAATAATTCAACTAAACACCAATTACGAAAAATTATCAAAAAAAAAAAATAATAATAATAATAGCTAAAAATTTAGAAAAAAAAAAAAATATAAAAGAAACTAAACGAATTCAAAATCTAAACCCGTCATATAAACTGAGAAACCAATCAATATTTTACCAACATTTTTATTTAACCATATTTTTATTTACATAAATTCGTACCTTATTTAAAATAATTTTCGCAACATTTTATTCTTTTCTAAAATATACTTTAGCAAAAGATAAAATAAAATTTTAAGGCAATTTTCCAAAAATAAAACCAAAAAAAAAAAAATCATGCAAATGCTGTATCATATTAATTACCATAGTAAAGTTATAATAATATTAAACAATAATTACAAAAAATTAATACAGAAATAAAAAAAAAACTCTGACAACTGAGGACAAATATATTAATAATGATATGTTTTCTAAATATAAATAATTTTAAAAGTTATATTTATTAATGACTTTTTCTTAAGGCTCAGGAAGTATTTCTATTCACATATTTTTTTATTCTCTACGCTGATATGGTCCTTAAGTAAAGAGGAATGTAGCTTTATCAATCGTTCGGGGAAGAACATTATTTCTAAGTATATCTTTTTTTTTTTCAAATATATTTTTATAAATCTTTAATAAACTTTATTTGCAGTCTTAATAGAACATCTATTCGGATATTGTTTTTAGCACGGCTTACGGTTTTACCTTTACTTTATCTATTATACGAAATAAAAGAAAAAATATGTATATAAAAACCTCTGCCTGGAATAGAAAACGTTGTAACACTTTCAAACGCTCTTGAAAATTTTCCAACGCATCTCAGTATATAGTTCCATTCTTAACACATAATTTGACGCACACTCTTTGATAGATAGAAAAAACGTCAATTGTGTTATCGTTATTATTTAATTTTTCGATTTTTTTTTTTTTTTCTTGAACCACCTAACATTGCTTTATACTCTTTAATCAATTGGGTTTTGTGTTATATTAACAATTTAAAGTTGGCAGTGCTGCCAAAACATAAAAATGCAGTGACAAAATTTAGCAAATCTTACGTTGAAAAAGTAAACAAATAGCACGTGCAGATAAATTGCAAAATGCACGCAACAAAAGCAATTATCTAAGAAGAGAAATTATCTGACAGTGCTGCCGTTACGCGGCAAACTTTTAAGGAGAATCTGGTAATGTAATCGGGATACTTTAGGTTTTCTTTTCTGTTGTTTGAGTGTTTTTTTTTTTTTTTTTATTTCGCCTTAAATCATATGGTTTATATGGTTTGCTTATTTGTTGCTGTTGTTTCAACTCATAAACGTCAGTTGCTCAGTTGCTTTTTTCATTTTTTCTTGTGATTGCACAGTTTGCGGATTACGGTTTTTTTTTTTTCTCATATAAATTTCAATCTTAGAAAAAGTAAAAAATTAATTACATTAATGAACAACAATATTGCAGAATAATAACAATTGTTTTTTTTTAAGCAATAATAAAAAAAATACGTCGCGCTTATTATAAACACGTCATGAGAAGCTTAATAACGTTTTAATAAAAAAAAATTGTATATATACATATATATATATATATATATAGGAACAAAGGAAAACAACTACAACATCTAATTGCCTTTATTGATTAATTTATTCCCTTTTAAAGCAAAAAAAAAAGTTATACATCTATAGAGTACGCAAAGTTGAACATAGAAAAAATCTGGTGAAAATATAAAATTATCCAATATTGAACAAAAATCCATTTTTTTTTGCAAAACTACATAAATTTCTTTAGACGAAATTTTTTCTTATTATGGAATTTGAGAATACGTCATTATTGGCCGAGTCTGCTGGCTTAGGTAGGTCAGCAGGGTATAATTTTTGCTAATGGATATAATATATGAATTCTTTAAAAAATTTTATAGATGTATCTACGGAAAAAGGTCACAAACTAAATTATAGTTCATCATCGTCGTTAAAATCAAAATCTACCACCGCCAAAATTATGTCAACATTATCATCAACCCTAAAAAAACAAGAGCAAAAGCGCTTAGATACCGAACTTAAATCAAGAGTGAAACCTCATCATCAAAAACAGCCAATGTCTGCTGCTGAGCGTTCGGCAACTAAAAAATCTTTAGTCATTTTGGCTGCCATTTTTATTACATCGTTAGCGGCCATGTGCTATGTTTACATGATATGCCCCGAATTAAATGAGTGAGTAGAAATGTTTGCACGCACTTATGTAACGCGCATACGAAATTTATATCATTATTATATCATTTATATCATTACACTGATAAAACCTTTTAGGAAGCAAATACATGCGAAGATATATATCGTTTAGCGAAATAGGGTGCAGATCGTGGATTTAAATTCTTCAATCAAACATTTACCGAACGTAAATGCAAAAAGTTTCTTTCTAATACATGCTTGCCCTAGTTAGTAGGTCGAATGAAATTCTTATTACCTCAGCTGAATAGACAGATCTGCCTAAAAGTTTTTTTTTTTTTTTCTCTAGTAGACACATGCATACACTCATTTATGGATTCAAACTGAAAGCATATATATGTGTCTGCATAGTCAATTTTGGTAACAGTAACAGAGTTTCAGTGTCAAATGACAACATAATCTCGCTCTGACCACGGATAGATATTATTATGATTTTATGGGAACATTTATACAAAATGTTAAAGCGAACATATCTGGCTTTCAAATATATATATAAGTAAAATTCAACAAGTTCCTGTGAACACATAAATAGCCTAATCGAAAATAATTTTTGTGATAGTTCTGTTAAATATTTATCGCAAATATTATCGTTTGATGATGACGGCTATTAGTTTGTAACTTAATAATGAAAACCTGTTGAAATTTGTGGAATTTTGTAAAGCGGGATATGACTCGAGTATACTAACTATTTCTAACACCACGAATAGGTTAAACCAAAAAATATATAGATCATTTTATTTATTAATGCCTTATGCTCGTTCAATATAGTTGTTGTTGTTGTTGTTGTTGTTGCAAGGTTTGAAATACAATGTCATAACTTGGCATATAAATTAGATCCGCTCACAAATGCGCCTAAACCATGCCGACCAAAAGCCAAAAAAATTGTCTATATATAATAATTCAAAATTCATTACCTATAAAATATTTGGCCTTTTGGTCTTGTATGATAATTAAGAAAAGAAAGCTTCTTGATGTTGAGTATTCAATATCGTCATCCAGGCGTATGTATTTAAATATATATTTTACCTATATACGCATTGCGCGCCTTATTATTGAGACTGATAATGCAGAGATCACCAACCGTTAGTCAATCGCAGATATCAACACACCGCTAATGAGTGAGTTGAATGAACCCAGTAACGTTCCTTTCCTAACGACTTTCTACAGAGTTTTGTCTAAAATTTTTTCTTAGAGACCTTATAGTGTTCCTAGTGCGATAAATCTATTTTAATTTCGATTAATCGTAATTAATAATGCAATTTGGTTGTAATTATAGTTTTTTATTTAATGATTAATCATTGATTGGATGAAATAATAAATAGTAAGGAATAATAATAAGAAAATGTTTGCATCAAAGCGTCCATATATACGGACCAATTATATCGTATATGAAATTTGAAATTCCTTTTTAAGAATACCCGAAGTTTATCATTTTATCACATTGCTCTATATATGTGTTTTTACGCCGGTAAAAGGCATACTTAACATAGTGTTAAATGGCCTTGTAACGGAGAAACTAACAGAGACGTTTAACGAACTATATTATTATATATAATTCAATCTAATTAGTATGAAATGTAAAATTCTTGGCATCTTTGTTAATGTGTCGTCAGCTATACACATAACAGAACAATTTCCCAAGTTCAATGTGGAGATGGCATATGTTCTTGTCATATTTAACACGTTTACGTTCCGCATTTTTCCGCATTTTATTTCATAATTCATGCATTTCGTTGCAAAATGATTTTTAGTTACATCGTACGATGTCTGACGGCGGCAAATAAAATATATGTTCGTGGTATGCTTTTAATTAAATTATTTGAAAGAACGACAAGCGTGCAACGAAAAAAAAAAAAAAATTACTAGAATTAAACCTAAAAAACATACGTACGTTAGGAGGAGTCATTCTCAAGCGAAAGATTGATTTTTGTTAAATTGTTTTTTTTTGTTTTTTTTTTTTCGAGAAGTTCAGAGTACAATGTTGATTCAATTATTTGTTTACAGTTTGCCTTCTTTTTTATTGAAGAGAATGGC